GATCCAGAACAGGCTGACTCCAGAGTCACTGGCTGTCATGTAGTCTCCCCAACTACTGTCTCAGGTAGGTTTCTTACCCACTTATGACAATTGAAGAAACTGAATCTGAAAGGGTTAAATAACTAAAGAGTTCATATCCCGGAACCTCTACTGAGCAGGTTTGGGGTTTTTTTCTTAAAAACTTTATGACTGTAGGCCAGGCACAGTGGGAGGCCAAGGCCAGTGGATCACGAGGTCAGGAGATTGAGACCGTCCTGGCTAACACGGTGAAACCCTGTCTCTACTAAAAATATAAAAAATTAGCCGGGTGTGGTGGCGGGCGCCTGTAGTCCCAGCTACTCTGGAGGCTGAGGCAGGAGAATGGTGTGAACCTGGGGGGCGGAGCTTGCAGTGAGCGGAGATCATGCCACTGCACTCCAGCCTGGGTGACAGAGCGAGACTCTGTCTCAAAAAAAAAAAAACTTTGTGACTCTAAGTTCTTAGGTAAAATGGAGATGATAATATTCTATACCTTACAGTACTGTCATAAGGATTAAATGACCTCATACATGTAAAGCACTTGGTATAGTCCCTGCCATGTAATGTGTTCATTTTTATCATCATTATAATCCTTTGAGAAGGCAGTGGAATTTAGATGAAAGAAACCAGAATTCAGATACTTTATCCTCTTCCTAATTAAGGAAACGTGGCTCATTGGAGTCAAGGGACTGCTTCAACACTGTAGTTTGTCACAAAACAAAATGAGATCCTGGGCCTCACGAGGATTTTTTTGTTTAGTTGTCTGCAAGTCACATGGACTCTGTTGTAACAAAAGGAATGCCTCCCTCTGGGAAACATGGACTTCTCCAAGGAATTTGTCTCATAGAGTCTAAACAAATCCTGGCCAGTTGCACAGAGGACATATTTTCTGTTATTTTCTGGTGTCTGAGCAAATAACTTTTGTGGTAGAGTTAGCCAGACCTAGGTTAGGGACTGTGTTTCTTTATTTACAAACTCGTGTGACTTGTGAAAAAGACTTGACTTCCCAGAGCTTTCATTTGTAAAATGGTGACAGTATACCCTATTCTGATTGAAGATTGTGGAGATTTAAAGAGAGTATTAATATATACAGCACAGACATGGTGGCTCATGCTTGTAATCCTAGCACTCTGGGAAGCCAAGGCAGGAGGATTGCTTGAGGCCAGGAAGTTGACCAGATACCCAACTCCAGGAGGTTGACACCTCCTGGCCTCAAGCAATATAGTGAGCAATTGGGCAATATAGTGAGACCCCCATCGCTATAAAAAGTAAGAAAAAAAACTAGCTGGGCATGGTGGCACATGCCTGTAGTCCTAACTACTTAGGAGGCCTAGGCAAGAGGATAACTTGAGCCCAGAGTTTGAAGATACAGTGAGCTATGAACATGTCACTGTACTCCAACCTGGGCAACAGAGTGAGACCCTGTCTTAGAAAAAAAAATGTACACACACATAGAGAACACTTAGTATTAATACATCTGTTGTTAATGATTTGGTGGCTGATGGGAAGAGGTGGTCAAGATATATTATGCTCATCCTGAAAACCCAGAGCAGAGGGGAACCCCAGCTATATATATCAAATCTCCCAAAGAGCATCTGGACTGTGGGGTGGGGGAGTTGGAGGGAGGATTGTGAGTGAGGACAGAAGAAGCTGAAGGGAAGAAAGCATTTTTAGACTGATTATTAGTGCTACTTGGTTTCTCACTACTACTTTCTCATCCTCAGCTCTGCAATGCCAGAGTAAAGCTCTTCTCCAAATGAAGAGCCAG